AGACGGCGGTCCCGTAAGGAACGGACGGAGGACGAGCTGGCGGCAGAACGCATGTTGGGCAGCGCCGACTTGTTGGAGCGCTCACTGCAAGCGATCGATGACGTGCTTTCGCAGGAAGGCTTGGAGTGAGTCGGCGCGTGAAACACAGCCGCATCCCGTTGTAAGTCAGTGCCCGCAGCACCCGCTGCACTTCAACACAAATATTTGGGCTGGTGTCGCTTCCTCGTGAACTGGGGGGGCTTATGTGCTGCGGCGGCAACTTGTACCGTGTTTGTGATTCCGGGTGACTTGAATACTAAGAATGCAAAGAACACGGACATGTCTGCACCTTTCGGTTGGTGGAGTTTGGAAGCATACATGCTATTTGTTGGCCCATGCATTATCGAAATGAGCGGTGTTTTTTTGGTCGCAAGCTAATTTAGCAGAGAGAGGGACATTATTATTGAAAATGTGCACCGCGCCACACGCGCGGAAGCATGCGGAAGGCTTCGCGGAAGGGATTTGTTCGCGGAAGGTTTGCGGAAACTTTGTGGCTGATATGAAATTACATGTTTCAGTGCGTGCATGGAAAAACACGGAGAAACGATTGCAGTAGAAGAAAAAAGGTGTTGCCGCGTACAAGAAGCGCAACGCTTACTCGAAGAGCAGTTGCCAACAGCAAGCCAAGAAGACCAAAATAAAGGGGTATATCGCGGAAGGTTTGCGGAAGCTTCGCGGAAGGGTGCCCCCGTGTTTGCAGGCAAATGGCCACATAGCATGGGTAGCCCATGGTAGCCCAATGGAGCCCAAGCCTACACAGGCTGCGGCGAAACACTACCTTACTTAAACTGACTTTCCTTGCTGCGCCAATACTCGCGGCAGCAAATGTTGCAGACCATGCGCCGCGGAAGGTTTGCGGAAGCAAACAATGAAACACACGTGCCGCGGAAGTCCGCGAAAGGGACCTCTTGGCCCGCGGCAAGGATGCGGAAGGGTCCGCGGAAGCTTGAATATTGTCCAAGCAGGTTTGTTGGGAATAAGAACCAACGCTCAAATGGGCGTGTTTGCCCGTTGATCTTAGCCCAGTGCCCAGTGGCACTTCTTTTTTTTGGGGGGGGAAGGCTTTCTTCTCAAAATCAACCAACAACAAAAGGCTGCGCCAGCGATGACAACTGGGAATCGCACAGCCGATCTTCAATTTGCTCGACGCCGGACTTCTCCATCCTGTTTTCAACTTCGCATAGCAGAGGCAGCCTCGCCTTGTTTTGCAGCTTCCGGCTGGTGTTCATCGCCTCCGTCTGAGCCATCGCAAATCAAGAACTCAGTGGACGAGGGTGCCGGAAACTGGGTTGTCCTGGTGGCCGGAAGGAGGCGCAGCAGAATGCAGCTGAGGGTCGCTGGCAGGCCTACAAGATAAGCCGGTCTCCTGTCCAAGTCGACCTTGAGGACGATTGTTCATTCGTGGTGGTGTCTGCGCCAACCGCCCTGCGATCCCACGGCAAGCATTGCTTCGAGTTGGTCTTTGCCCTGCCGGCGGCCTGTTTGCGAACGTTCCGAGTTGAGTGGAGACAGCAGTCCCCACCTTCCTTGACAGGCTGGAGCGGACCGAGACCAAGGTATCTAGCGTGTGCCGCCGCCCAGCGCAGCGTCTGACATGTTGCTTGCAGCTGGAAGCGCGTGACTCCTTCGTCCGACGCGGAAAGGTGGGGCTTCTGAGTCCTTCACTGACCCACGTACCAACACATACGCGGGCTTAATTGCAGACAACATCAGATGATAGTTTAACAGAGATTCATTTGAACGCAACTGACCAAGTATTTAATATGCATCCTTTCGAAAACCTCATACTGGCTGTTAGCATTGTTGCCCAACGGTTTTACCACTGTCCCATGTGCCCTTCGCTTCCTTTGATTGCATTCCCTCACGCAATCACATTGGATGCGAAGGGATGAAGATACGCGATTACGCGAGGAGAGAACAGACGGATTCATAAGTGAAAAGAACATCCTTCCTCTCTTCATTTTTTTACCTGTCTCCCACCATCTAAAATGGACGGAACAGAGACAGACAAATGCGAAATATCATTTCCTCCCTGCATTTTGCGGGCGTTGCGCAGGCGTCACGACCGTGGAAGCTTCTGCCCCTTGTCCTTGTGAACCGGCATGTTCGGCTAGCAAGTTTCGCGGAAGCCTGGGCTAGAACCCACAAGCTTCGGCTTTTCTTATGTGGAGATCAACAAGGTTGGATGGTTGTAACCCAAGTGGCCATCCACTTGCTAACTTGGCCAAACATCCCAGTGCGTGGGGTTGGGGATGGTCATCCTAGCATAGGTCCCCGAGTAGTGGTTTTTTATTTCTTTTTTGGGGGAGGGTTCCCCTACTAAAATAGACTACAGAAAAAAGGGTACCTCTCTACTGGAGGATCTAGATTGCGTGGCAGTTGGAGAGAGTGAGCTTGTTTAAGTCGCTGAGGCGATCACTGACTGGCTCTTTCTGGGCGGAAAGCCTGCTGCAGAAGCAGCCGCCCGGGAGAACCCGCAGGCAGTCACGCACGTGTTGCACCTTGGCCTGCGCATGCGTTTGAAGCTTGTCAAGTACGCTACATTTTTTGGACCCAACGAGTAGTAGGGCCCCTTCAAGGAGATCATTTGGGCCAGTTCAAACATCAGCTTTACCAGCTAGGAACGGACCCCCTTGCTTACAGCAGGCAGCGTTTAGAAGCATCTTTCCCCTGAAGCCTTTTTCGTCCAGTCAGTTTTTTCTTGGACCGAATGTTCCCGGCAAACCCATTCTTGCCATGCAAGCACCGCACATGCGGCTGGCGTGCCTCGTGCCTCTCAGGAACTGCTGCGAGCCCTGGTACACTGAAGGCCCGCTGGAGCGAGGGGAGCGCTGGCCCGGTTCTTCGGTAATTGATTCGTGGGTTCCCCTCTAAAACTGGATGCACAAAGGGTTGCTTTTCTGCCAGGGCCGCAGGGCGGAGCATGGCCTTTTCGACTTTTTCTCTTTTCTTTTTTTTTTAAACGATGTTGATCGACCTCAGGTAAGCCTTGGTAATTGGGACAGGTGGTTGTTTGGATTTGACGCCCCGGTTCATGTAGATGGTAAATCTGGTGAATGGGAGCAAGCAAACCACCATCCAAGTTGACCGCAACCTCCCCTCTGAGGCCCAAATAGTAAGAACTTGCAGTACCGCGGCTTTGAAGCCTACGATGAGCCTGGCTACCGACTTCTTGATGCCACTTGGCCGTGGGATTTGTGACTCTCAAGAAAAGGCCCCCTCCAAACAAAAAGTGGTGGTTTCCCCTTGTTTTCCCTTTGGCACCCAAAAACGAGATCCCTCAAAAAACAAGACGCCATTTGGGAGCATTTCTCACTTGGTGGAATCTGTTTGTCACCTTAGTCCTGCAAATCCAAGCGTAGTGCGTGCATTCGGGAATGTGTTCAAGGAGTTGCTTCCCAAGGAGCACTACACACGAGTACGGCCTTTTCTGGATTCTGCACGTTCGGGGCGGTGCTTGGTGCACTGTGCAATGGGCGTCAACCGTTGCTGCCTGAGCTGGCCAGTGTTCATGCAAATGACGGGGAAGGAAAGGAGCATAATTTCACATCAAAGTCGCATTTCATGGTCATCTCCACGCTGCACTCACCGGACACGACTTAGCAAGCCATGTTCAAAGGCTCCGCCCTGGTCTGTGCTGCTTACCTGATCGATGCGCTGGACATGCCCTTGCTGGAAGCAGTGCGTTTGGTCAAGGAGAAGCGAGGCGAAGGTTTCTGGCATGCATGCCAATACTGTGCTACTCATGCATTTATTTTGAGCTAGGTCAGTCCTTCTTGTCCGCTGAGACGCATACAGACTCTTTATTGAAGCCAATTGTGCAACATCAGCGTCAACAGGGCAGCTGCAGCAGGGTTTTGCAATTATTTTGCGATCGCGACAGACACTTCAGAGCAACGATGAGCTGGACGAACAACTCTTCATTCGAGCTTTGAGCGATCAACCTTGAATCAAATTAATTAGTTCAACGCTTTGCCCCTGACTTAGATTTCTCATCATTAATCCTGATCTTGACCCCATTTCTTTTTGTTAGTCCCCTTTTCACCTATAGAGATTTGCGAAGGACACCGGGACAATCAGCCCCGATTTCGGCACGAAGCCGCAGGCCATTGCCTGGGCAATCGCAGCTTCAGATTGCAGCTCATCGAATTCGCGGCAAAGCGCCGGCGCTTGGACGTTCCCGACATCGCCGGCTGAGGGACGAAATTTGCGGCGCCTGAAGGCGGACAGTTGGAAAAAGGTCGATGGGAGGTGGTTTGGGGACCAGGGGCCCCTGGTTTAAACATGATTACTCCAAGCAAGCTGTTCAAACAGCCTTTAGAGGGGGTTGGAAAGGGAGCACTTAAACTTGCCATGTGGTGAAGGTTCCATTTAAAGCTGTGAACTTCTGCACGGTTTTGGCCATCGCTTTGCTTGGCACTCGTCGTCCCTTGCAAGGGTCATGACCGAGCCACGACGAGCCGTGAGACGAAGTGAGCCTCGGAGCGAGCTAGAAGATTGGCCCGGCCGACCGCCAAGTGGTCTGCGATGGTCTCTGCCAAGTTGGGCCACAATGAAAACCCGGGTAGATGAAGGTTAGTAAGGGACACTCCCAGCCAGAAACAGCCGCGGCCGCCTTTGTATTTCCTGGCTTGGTTCTGGGTCAACCGTTTTAGTACCGGGTTTTGAGTGTGGCTCAAGTTGGGCCCGAGCACAAGCTGAGGGCAAAATAGAAAGCTGCCGCGCGCAAAACACCCGCCATGTTTCTATTAAGAATCCTTCCCCCAAAGTCTTTGCCATGTTTTGCCACCGGATGGTGAGGCAACCACGCCAAATATGGGGTTTTGCCACCATGCGTCACCTTAAACCTCCAACTGAAATCCACCCAAGCACTCCAAACCACCTGAATGATTTCACCATTGTCCCACGGAGACGATCGGGATGCGGCATGATGCGGCCGATGTTTGCCTCAGTTCGCTCAGGTTCTCTGCCAGCTGCGTGGGGGCAGCAGCTGAGTTGCGACCGACCAATGTTGTTTTTTTTGTCACTGGGTGGAGACTGTTTTTTTTCAATTTGGGAGCAAGGATTCTTTTTAAAAAAAGGAGCAAGGATTCTGGCCGTCCATGTCAAGCGGAGCTTTCTGTGTTCAAGTTTACCATCCCTCACAGCGGCGTGCAGTATGGTGCGCGGAATCGCGATTGCTGTTGCGGGCATTCGCATTTGGGTCTGATTTGTTTGAATGGGGATCTACCTCATGGTGATGTCCACCAAAGGGTCCCCCATTCAAACTCACACTCATTTGAGTTGCTCGGCTCTTCGTTTGTTTCAGGTCGTAGCTGAGGGTGCGGTACTCTCCTTGCAACTGCAGGGAGCTCAGATTTGTTCTGCCAAAGTGCAGAGTGAGCTTCTCAATTTTATTGGGTCGTTTTCCTTCAAAGGACCAATTCTAGGGTCATTTTGAGGATGTTACTTTTGAATGGACCCAGCCATTGTGGTGCGCTCCTGTTGGCTGCTTACGCATTGCTTCTTGAGGTGCCTTGTGTTTGTTTGCTGACGAGTATGGAACCTCACCATGACGCAGGCCTCGCAGGTTGCATCTTTGTGCCAACAGCTTGGAATGAATGTGTGTGTGTGTGTGCGTGTGCGTACGTGCGTAGACTTAGGATGCATTTTGCATTTTACCAGGGACTCAAAGTGAAGCAAACAGATTAATACACATTGGGCCAACTCTCACTGGGCCTAACTCTAACTTAACTAACATAAGCAAACTCTACATGGGTGTGGCTCACAATTAAACAGATGGGGTGACGCAGGTTTTAGTCTACCTTTCCATTTACCAGGGCTCCATTTTGGGGTTAGCCTATTTTTGAGCCATACCCACATTGGGCCAACTCTAAGCAAACTGACCGAGGCTGCTCCGCCTGGGCAAGCAGGCAGCTTTCCAGGGGCTCGGCAGCCCAGGATGCCTGAAGAACTCCGTCAGCATGTGGGTCTTCAAATAGAGACCTATGAAAAGTGGGTTCCCTTGGGTTCCCTTGTTTTTCCCTTAGTTTCCCTGGGTTTCCCTTGTTTTCTCTTGGTTTCCCTTTCTCTTGTTTCCCTTGGGTTTCCCTTTGGTTTTTCTTGTTTTCCCTTGGTTTCCCTTGGTTTCTCTTGATGTCCCTCCCTTGTTTTCTCTTGGAATCCATTAGTTTCCCTTGTTTTCCCTTGGTTGTATTTGGTTTCCCTTCTTGGTTTCCCTTGGTTTCCCTTGTTTTCACTTGTTTCCCTTGTTTTCCCTTGGTTTTTTTTTGGTTTCCATTGTTTTCCATTGGTTTACGTTGGTTTCCCTTATAGTTTCCCTTGTTTTCGCTTGGTTTCTCTTGGTTTCTCTTTCCATTGTTTTCCCTTAGTTTTATTTGGTTTTTCTTGTTTTTTTTCTGGTTTGTTGGTTTCCCTTGGTTTCCCTTGTGTTCCATTGGTTTCCCTTGTTTTCCCTTGGTTTCCCTTGGTTTCCCTTGTTTTCCCTTGGTTTCTCTTGGTTTCCCTTGTTTTCCTTTGGTTTTATTTGGTTTCCCTTGTTTTCCATTGGTTTTATTTGGTTTCCCTTGTTTTCCATTGGTTTCCCGTTGGTTTCTCTGGGTTTCCACTGGTTTCCCTTGTTTTCCCTGATTTCCCTTGTTTTCCATTGTTTTCCCTTGGTTTCTCTTGATGTCCCTCCCTTGTTTTCCCTTGGTTTCGCTTGTTTCCCTTGTTTTCCTTTGGTTTCGCTTGGTTTCCTTTGTTTTTCCTTGGTTTCCCTTGGTTCTTTTTGGTTTCACTTGGTTTTATTTGGTTTCCCTTGTTTTTCTCTGGGTTTCCCTTGGTTTCCCTTGTTTTCCCTTGGTTTTTCTTGGTTTCCTTTGTTTTCCATTGGTTTACGTTGGTTTCCAGTGGTTTCCCTTGTTTTCCCTTGGTTTCCCTTGGTTTCCATTAGTTTCCCTTGGTTTCCCTTGTTTTCTCTTGGTTTCCCTTGGTTCCGTTTGGTTTCTCTTGGTTTCCCTTGGTTTCCTTTGGTTTCCCTTGTTTTTTCTTGGTTTCCCTTGGTTTCTCTTGTTCTTGCTTGCTTTCCGTTGGTTTCCATTGTTTTCCTTTGGTTTTATTTGGTTTCCCTTGTTTTCCCTTGGTTTTATTTGGTTTCCCTTGTTTTCCATTGGTTTCCCTTGGTTTCCCTTGGTTCCCGTTGGTTTCCCGTTGGTTTCCCTTGGTTTCCCTTGTTTTCCCTGGTTTCCCTTGTTTTCCCTTGGTTTCCCTTGGTTCCCTTTGGTTTCCCTTGGTTTTATTTGGTTTCCCTTGTTTTCTCCCTTGTTTTCCGTTGGTTTCCCTTGGTTTTTTTTTGTTTCTCTTGTTTTCCCTTGTGTTCCATTGGTTTCCCTTGTTTTGCTTTGGTTTCCATTGGTTTCCCTTGTTTTCGCTTGGTTTCTCTTGGTTTCCCTTGTTTTCCTTTGGTTTTATTTGGCTTCCGTTGTTTTCCATTGGTTTCCCTTGGTTTCACTTGGTTTCCATTGTTTTCCCTTGGTTTCGCTTGTTTCCCTTGTTTTCCTTTGGTTTCGCTTGGTTTCCCTTGTTTTCCCTTGGTTTCCCTTGATTTCTCTTTATGTCCCTCCCTTGTTTTCTCTTGGAATCCATTGGTTTCCTGTTTTCCCTTGGTTTTATTTGGGTTCCCTTGTTCTCCATTGGATTCCCTTTCCCTTGTTTTCCCTTGGTTTCCCTTGGTTCCCTTGTTTTTCCTTGGTTTCTCTTGTTTTTTCTGGTTTCGCTTGGTTTCCTTTTGTTTCCTTTGGTTTCCTTTGGTTTTTTTCTTGGTTTCCCTTGGTTTCCGTTGTTTTCCCTTGGTTTTTCTTGGTTCTCTTGGTTTTCCTGCGTTTCCCTTGGTTTCGCTTGTTTTCCTTTTGGTTTCCCTTAGTTTCCTTGTTTTCCTTTGGTTTCCCTTGGTCTTTTTGGTTTCCCTTGGTTTCCCTTGGTTTTTCTTGGTTTCCTTTTTTTTTCCCTTGGTTTCCCTTGGTTCCCTTTGGTTTCCCTTGGTTTTGCTTGGTTTCCCTTGGTTCCCTTTGGTTTCGCTTGGTTTCCCTTGGTTTCTCTTTACAGCCACATACGGGTATCAACAAACAGACCCCTGGACTGGACCCTTTGTGGAGGTCACCCCTTGTTGTGGTTTTAGAAAGCGAAGGGAAACCACCTGTGAGAAGCTGAGACGAAGTTTCTCGGCACGGACGGAGGGAATCCCATATGGCAAGCATACATATCACTACCTGGAGTCTCCATGACCCTTAACAAAATGGGGGCATTACCCCAAAATAATGGGGTCATTGACCGGTATGGAGACTCCAGGTAGAAAGGGGGTTGTTTCCCTGCTTCCCTTTGAGACCATCCGACTCCGGGTCCAACATCAAGACAGCCTTGAGACGCCGGCGTTCGAGGCTTCTCCAAATGCTTGCCGCCTTGGTGGTGCTTTTGTTGGAGGAAGGGCCGGTGCCTCAAATTTCGCTCGAACAGACGCAGTGGGGCCCATCAGCTCACAGGTTGGACGCTCTCGCATGTTGGAGCTGCGCGGTTTTTGAGGCGTTCTCTTTTCTTGTGGGTGCGATAGGTAGGGATGAGAAATGGAATGACCCCTATCCTGTAAGGGAACCTCACTCCCTGCTGAGCACCAGCAAGTTTTCTTCAGGGGTTGATTGTTCAGGGCAGCCAACAGGAAGCCGAAGATTGTTGGGGTTTCCGTAGCCCAAAACCATGAGCTTGATTGTAGAACGCGACTCTCCGGTCATCGACCCGTTTTCATGAAAAGATAGCCCGACAAGTTCTGGCCCCAATGGCTGAGATCGTGATAACCATATCGTGTGTTGGGTGGAACATGGCCATGAGAAACGTGTTTGGAAGTGGGCTTGACCATTTGCATCCAGAGCTGGTCTAGCATGATCGGCCCCTTCCCGTTGCACAAAAACAGCTTTGGTCTTGGTTCCCCCTTTCCACACTCATCCTAAAGTAAGGGTTTCCCATTTGAATTCAGGACACCCCTTACATTGATCTTGAGAACACTCCAAGACCGCCCACAGTCGACCTTTCCACCTTTCAAGCTCCGTGTTGTGCTATTCGCAGGTCGACCCTTTGATTGACCCACTCCCTTTTTGTTGCCTCGAAACCGGTAGAAAAGAAAGAAAGAAGCCGAGGCCGACGCTGCAGCAGCACATGGAGACGCAGATCCTGGAACTGTTCGCGGCGCGGAAGGAGATGCCCGCAAGGCCGGGGGACGGAATTTGGCTGTGGGTCAGCACCAATGGGGTAGCTGCACCACCCATTTTAGAACCTATTTAGTGAGGATGAGGATGTTCACTGGGGCTACGATTTTGGTTTGATTCATGGTGATTTAGTATGGTAAATGCATGGGACCAGTGTTCGCTCCTTTGCGGTTCGCCCATTTATGACACTGGCGACTGTGCCAGGGATATCTACCGCCAGCTCTTCCC